TCATTATTAACATTTTGTTTTTACTTAAATTTAACTATCTTGTGTATACTTAAACAAGATAGTTATTTTACATTTTGTTAGAAATTATTAACTTTAACGATGAAAATTTAATGCCTATATTTTTAGTAACTTTTAACTAAATCACAATTAGTGTAGCAGTATGGTTAATAGCTTGAATGTGCTGTCAAATCACTTTACTGAACTAAAGATATTGACTTACCATCCATTAAAAAAGTGAGACATATCACAGATAACGAACGTTGAAATAATGATGTTACAGATACAGATAATTTGCAGAAGAAAAAGCTTGCATTAGTTTGGAATAAAATAAAAAAAGCTTCGTTGAGATGAGGTAATTGACTGATAGTTAGTACTATTCAGCTAAAATTTCCCGCAGATTTATAATTATAGATAAAACATGGAAAATGACTCAAAACTTGGACTCTTACAAAACTGAAGATAATTAAATTTGCTGGCAAGGTCGTGGTCTATGTTTTATGGAAGTTGGTTTGCATATAATCACAAAATATTTCTAAAAGGAATAAAATTAACGCCATTTGGCAAAATTAGTACATTAAAACATTATTTCATAAACATACTGTAATATTTCTGAAGTCATTACGATTAAAAGTCATTCATTTAAGGTTGTTTTATATTAACCACTAACTCTACTTACCAATAAAGTTTTTCTACATTTTTTTTCTGCTCTTAAAAATGGCTTGATAGCAATAATAAAGATACAATATCTGTTAATGACTACTAAAAGGTATTCATTTAATCAATATTAGAAGTTACGTTCTACAGATTATGTAATCAAGTTTAATGGCACAACTGTCCTGGTAAATTGTATTGCTATTTGGCTCAGTGTCAATAAAAAACATTTTCATTAACATAAAGGTTTAAAAGATTTTTTTTAGTACACATTTAAAATAACTGTAACTATAATAATAAGCCTTGTTTAATATCAAATAACATAGCGAATCTATAAGGTAGCAGAAGTTCTGGTGCGCCAGCGAAAAAAATGGAGAAGAACGGCCAAAAATGAGCCAGCTGAAGCACGATATATGTGGAACGACATCTACAGTGAAACATCAAATAGAATCAGATTTAAAATAATTATTGAGGTCTTATGCTTCACTAGAGGAAGTAAACAATAGTAGTAGTAGTTGTAATATTAAAATAAATTAACATTCGAATCTTCCACAAAAAAGGGTTCGGTAGTGCATGTGTTAGGCTAGAAATTATTTTTAAAGTTAAAATTGTTAAGTTAGGAGTCTTTATCTTAACAAAAAAAAAAGTTTTAAAGTGTTTTAATTTTTTAATTGAAATAACTTTTAAACCCATTTAAATTCCGAACGCAATTTGATTTGTCAAGTACAAATTCACAAATGCACAATTTCGGATATTTTTAGAACGAAAATTTGCTTGATTAAGCTTATAAATTAACAAACGTGTGTTAAACTGCAACGTATATACAATAGCAACTACCATTTGTATTGAAACATCTATTTTGGTTACGGTTTTGCAATGACTTTGATGACAATTGCGAAAATATCGATGGATTAAACAATAAGATAGACAAACAGATAGTCTGATAGGCAACAACGAATATGGCAAATGACAATTGGCAAGTAAATTTATTTGGTAACGCTATGTGATTCGTTGGGTTTCTTTTCAGATTTCAAGTGTACTTTTTTGGATGAAATTTTGTAAATTCGTATAGTACTCGTAATGAAGTCCAAACTACAGCCATACATACACAAGTACATAGATGAATATAGATTTAAATGGCATTTGGAAAAGACATTGACATGTCATAGAATTGGTGAGGCAATTGTATTTGGAAACACTTGTCAAGCAGTAAAAAGCAGCCAAGTTAGTTAGTTGGACAAAATTTTTTCTGATTGCATGAGTTTAATTAAGTTGAGGATTTTATTTACTACGTGCAATTGAAGCAAATTTTTAAAATTGAAAAGTAGTCAATGTTAATACTCTATACATATAACAACGAATAAAGATAAGTTGATGTGAATCAATGCATTGATATAATTTAATTTACCTAAATTAAGAAGTTGCAAATCTGTATGAAATAATTTTTGTGTATCTGTAAAGCAAAATAACAGTTTTGGGTATCTGTATGCAGTATACATGCAAATGAATGCAAGCGTTATCACTTCTAAAAGCTGTGTTTAAAGCACGTATAGTTTAGGACGACATAACTGACAGTAAACACATTAAAAGCACGATTACAAGAGTACGCAACTGAAAAACTGATAAGTCATTATGAATGGAAAATGCATCACAAAATCCATATTGCATATCAGAGCGGTGCATTGCAATTCATTGAAGCACAATAAGCTAAATGTGCAATAGCAATAGTACAACTTCAGCAATAATGCTATTAATGACTAACATACTAAGTAGCGAAAAATAGGTACCAGTGGGTGTGTTTGGGGCAAGTAATGCAAATCTAACGATAATGATAACATACGATAATGATAATGGTGCTGATACATTTGACAGTTTTGCCGCTACTCGCTGGCATAGCGTTAACATTCTTGCTATGCTTCATTGATTAATTCAAGTAGTTCAAACATGTTTTACAAACAAAAAAGCACACAAACAAATATACAAGTAAACAACTATGAATGAAACGAAATGCAGATTTAGAGTTGCTTCATACCGCAAATCAACAAAGTCCTCCTATAGAAAATTTTCTGAACAGCATTTCATATGGTATGTCACAGCGGACTCAAAACTACAAAATTTTGTTGTTGTAATTATGTTTATTGGTACGTTTTTCAACAACTTTAGCAACAAGGATTTGGTCGTTGTTACTCTAGAAGTTTGTTGCAAATTTGAAACCGTTAAGACTACAAATTGAAATTATTTTCTGTTAAGTTGAAAGCGCGCAATGGAAATCAATACTAAAAGTCGAAATGGTTAAGTAAAAGTACGAGTAGTTCTACGTTTGATAAATGTTAACGACACTGACAAATGCATAAATCGTGCGGTTTCCCGGGTTACTTAAACATGAGTTTGGCATCGAGCACAGGGAGTTGGCTTTAGAGTTAAAGAGGTTTTCAGTTAGCGTAATTATTCAAATCGTAGAATGAGTGCTAAGGGAGTCATTTTGTGGATTTTACCATTTTCAATTCTAAAATTTTAATGTGCCTCCAAAGAGCAAAGCAAGAAAATTGCATGATTGTGAGTTTAAATGAAGTAATTAAGTATTTAATCGAAGTGTGTTTATTGTTACACAGTAAATTAAGTTGTGTTTCCAGAATTCAAAACCTTAAACGATAAATAGTTAGTAAACATGATGTGTATAAAAAAGGAGTATTAAAGATTCTTAATGAAATTTTTTTATTAAAAAATATGTAAAAAATAAATTAAATTTTATGTGTTAAATTATGCACTTCTTTTACACTATGAAAAAAATTGTTCATTTTTTTTATTTTCAACAAATAAATACTAAAAACGTTCCGTTTTCTATGTTATTTCTACTTTCTATTCTATTTAATCGGAAATGTATTTTTCTCTCGTTTTACTAGAAAACCGCCACAGTACTATCAAAAACAGATGATATTGTGAATTTTCGTATAAAGAAACCTCGAATAGCAGAGTTTGGTGTGGTGATAATTGTCAGAAATATATACGATGTAGAATATGTGCATAAAGCTACAAATTTGAATTTTTTTAAATAATACAAAAATATCAAAAATTAATTAGAATTCGAAAGGAAAAAATTATTTTAGACAGAATTAATATTTATTTTTTTTAAAAATTGTTATAAATTGGTTAAAACGCAATAAAATAGATGAAAATGTTTTTAAATATTTCTATATATCAACTGCAACAAAGACGTATTCATTTACAAATTTTAATACAAAATGAGAATGATTTTGTGATAGCATATCTTGATCTTTTGATACAAAAAAAAAATCAAACGATCTGTTTTTGATTGATGTTGTGAAATCTGTATCATAAAATATCTTTGTTGTCTCGGTTTTAACTGTCAAAATCTGTCAAAAAGAAGGAGCAAACAATATCTCCCTTACACTTTCAGTTGACAAATGTGAGAGAGAGCTGCTTTGTGTATCTTAAAAATTGTGAATGATTTTTTATGGTTACTTTGAACTATGTTCACACAGAGAAAATGCCTTTTTTTTAAATTAAGATATTTCAAAACTGCATAAAATGAAGCATATAATATTTTTTTTTTTGTTAAAATATATAGTTTACATGTTTTAAGCTTTAATCTTTATAATATCGCAATTTTTTTTTGATAACATTCATATCACAGGTTTGTACGGGTGTGTAACTTACAGCAAGGCCTTAAATACTACTATAAAATAATTACAGACAGCACAAAATCTGGCTTTAAGTAGACTAATTAAGATTCCTTGGTATATTAGAACAACTGACATGCATAGAGATCTAAGAATCGACTCAGTGAAAAAGTATATCACCTCCGCTCTAACAAACCTTAAGTCCACCTCAGGACGCACAGGAAGATATGCTGATCTACGGTCCGTCATCAGTTAGAAAATAAATAAATGATAATGATTCTAGTATAGTTAAAGTTTAGAACAACAACAACAACAAGTTTATAGAACAACAACAATAGCAACAGGTTTGTAAAACGAGACGTAACTTTGTATAACCTCATCTCAATTCTTATCTGAAATTATTCTTATATAGCACTTGGTTCGTTTAAACTAGCTTTATTTAAACTAAAACAAATAAATTATGTTCATTTGTTTTGCACTTTAAATTTATATTTATATAGTATTTTAATTTAATGAGTAATAAATCAAGATTTTTGCTAAATATATATGCAAATATACCCAAATATATGGTATTTCCTTTACCTTAACTGTTAAATTTTTCATTTGTTGTTATTTAATTCTTTAAGACGACTAGTTAGTTTTGCTTATCCAATTACTTAAGCTAGTATCTTGTATGCATAACTAAAATAATTAAATCATGTCACTCACCTAAAATCTAAACTCAAATTTCGTTGATGTGTTGATATACGCTTGGGTGGATTCGTTCCTGTTGTGCCATTAGCACCTGCTGTAGCTGCAGTATTTGCTCCAGGCACACTCAAATTTGGACGTCCATGCACCGATGGCATAGAATGATTAATAAACCGACTTAAACTTAAACGTGGCTTGGAATAACGTGCATGTTTTGGTGTTGTTGCTGCAGAATTGGCTGGCGTACCACCAATACCACCATTAAATTGATTATGATGATGATGTTGTGGTGGCACTGATGCTAAACTGCTGCTAGCATTTGGCATAATGATGGGCAGAGTAATCGGCGCAGATTTTAGAAATGCAGGCACATAATCTTCACCATTGCTGGAGGCATTATTCACCACACTTGTTGGTGAGGCTGGTGTAGATGTTGTACTTGTATCAGCAGTTATACCATTTGTTGAATGTATTGAAAGAGTAGCAGTTGAACCTGTAGGTGAAGCTGCTATCGTTGTTACATCTAAGCTAGTAGATGAGCTTATCGAACTTGGACCGGAATTACAAATGGCAACTGAAGCTGCTGATGATGAGGAAGAGGAAGATGTAGATGACGATGATGACTTTAAATTTGCTGCTGCTATTGATGATAATGCTGAAGTTGATGACATTGAAGAATTACTACTCAGACTCAAACTCAGACTTTTGGCTGGACTTGGCTGTTGTTGTGTTTGATGTTGTTGTTGTGTTAGTATTGTTGGACTGTGTATAATAGTACTGTTACTATGCTCACTAGAACTGCTTGTACAGGCAGCTGCCGAATGTTCTGACTCATCATCATCAGCATCCAACAACTGCAGTGTTGGACTAGTTGTAGCGCTGCATTGACCATTTAAATATGTTACGGATGATGGTGTTGTTATTGCTGTTGCTGACGTTTCACAGTTGTCATTGCAATTGCCATTTTCTGTTGCTGGCATTGACTGTGCTATTCCGACTGCAGTTGTTGGCAAATATTTTGCACCATTCATATTACAATCAGCGGCAGATGATAACGTTTGTGTTTCGATTGTGGGCGTTAAACGTACTGAGACTGCATGATCAACAACATCTACACACGGCGGACGAAAATCATCGGCAACAACGACCGGTGACAATATTTTCGTAGCAGTATCTATTTCTCGTATATGTCGCAGATATTGATAGCCATTATCCTGCGCATTTATAGATTTCTTTTTAGAATTGGCGCTACTTGTGTTGCCATGACCATGAGCCATGGCACCGCCACCATTATGCTTTTCACTGGCGGCACTGTTGTTGCTCGAATTCTTTTTGGTTTTAAATGCAGAAATGACTGAATTCATTTTGAATTTTATATTAAAAATGTATTTTTACTTTGCAAATGGCTAAAGATGAGTATTTTAATTAAATTTTTTTTTTGATGAATATTTTTTGTTTTGATTACAATGTGATTTGAGTGCGCGGTTGTATGAGTGAAGATATTTACTTATGTATATATGAGTTGATTTTTGAATATTGCTTTATTCTAAGCCATTTTATGACGATTCACAACCAGATTTATTCGCTGAAATATTATTTGATTTAAGGTCGGTCATTTGATTCATTTAGTCACTTAAAATTAATGTTTGTTTCAAGTCATTTTTAGAGTTGCAACATATCGTTGGATTTATACTTTCCCGTTTGGGGGCGTTCTGCTGAAATGCTTAACATTTTGCGCAATCTAAAAAAAAAAAGATTTTTAAAAATTTAATTAATCACAAATAAAATATTTAATAGGTAATTTATAATAATATAAATTTAAAATACTCTTATCAAGTATCTGATGTCAATTATAAGCAAATATTTAAACTGAAATAATAAGACTGTTTTTTGTAAATATTGCAAACAGAATTCTATAGAAACAAAAACACGAAAGATGTCAGTTTTGTGTCTTTCATGTTTTTCTTCTAGATTTTGTAGAATTTGAGTCATTTGTCGGCGGCTTTGTGTAAAAATTGAATTTATTATTGTTTTCTTTTTCAAGTGAACTACAATAATAACAGTCGGCGTCATTGTGCTTCAAACTTCTCGGCAATTAGGTCGTCCTTGGCTTGGTCAAAATAGAAAACAAAAGATTTTTAGCATAGAAAGTGAATGAGTAAGAAAGTTCTTCAGTTTTTCAAAAAAGTTAGTACATGAGAAGGGTATATAAACGCTGCAGGCTTGCTGACAAATTCAGCAGAAATTTAACCTAAATATAAGTGTCTAGTAAAAGTAAGTTTAAATGTTTTTGCTGTTTGCAAATATGATGGAAAGCTGCCAAATGTAGTGTTTGCAATAGAAATGTGTTAAAGTACTTAAAATCTCTCAATAAATTGTTCAATTTTATACACTTAATTTACTCCAAACATGTATATAAGTGAATATTATCTCAAATTTTCTGTATATATTGTCAATAATACTATTATCTTTTTAGAAATAATAAGTTCAAAGTAATTAATTTTCTTTATTTAATGAAATTTTAAATAATTAAATCAATCTAAGAAATTGTGGCAAGGTTAATGAGAAAAGTAGCACAAAATTTAAACAAAGTATAGTTAATTATTTGAGCAACTCTTGCTGGGCTTTAGATAGAAAAAAATATTTTGTAAAGTAAACAAAATAATTTGTTTGTTTCCATTACTGAAATAATAACTTTTATTGCATAAAGCAAACAATAATAAATTCAATTAAATATTTAAATTGAAATTTCGGAACGGGAAATTAATAAAAGAAAAAAAATGAAGGTGAAATAGTGAACATTTCATTTCAATTGATGATTCAAATTGAAATGCCCAATTTATGTTATTGGTTACAAAATTTCTGCAATATTATATTAATATATTCAATAAAAAAAATATTTTTCATACAATTTTTATAAAAGATATAAATAAATTCCACAATGAATTTAAAAATATTCAGCATTTGAGAAGTGAGTTTTATTTTAAAGTAAACACAGTTAAAGATAATTTAAGTAAATATATCTTGTGGCTATCTTTATCTTTTAAATATCAGTAGTGAGTTGTATTCTTAAGTAATTATTTTCTATTGTTTTTCAAAAGTTGGAAACCATTATAAACTAAAGTATGAAAATTTAATCCACTAAAACTACCTCTTCGAAATTAATTAAGTGAAGTTTAGTGTTTACCATTTTAATATGTATTATAAACTTATTATTATTATGTAGTTATTAATAGTCACTAATTAAATTATATTATATTGTAAACATAAAGGGTAAAGCCCTGAAATTATTTGCGAAGTCTGACAGACTTACCAACACCGCGTTATCAAATCTCAGAATGGTTACAGGCTCCTCAGGGAAGGTATGCAGATCTGAGGTCAATTATTGCTTAGTGTGATGAAGTGATAAACAATAATCTAGTCAAGGCGCAAAGAGGGGTTTTGAAGAAACCTCACAGTTAATAGAGAGTAAAAGTGCTCAGGTGTACTGTGACTCAACTAGCCTCAACATAATAATAATGTATTATATATTATATTATTATACATATAATATTATACTTTGTTACATCTGAGATAGTGGCGCAAAACACTATTATCTTATAGATTTTTTCAATCGTACGAGTAGTTCTATAAACGAGCAGAATGACAGTCTCTCTAACAAAGCGCAGAATGGGTTGCATTGAGAAATTTCTGATAACATATGATAACAATGACAGTCTCTCTAACAGAGCGCAGAATGTCTTTCATTGAGAAATTTCTGATAACATACGCACTTCGCAAGTCCTGGTACAATAACATTAAAAAACAAATAATAGTTTATATTTCATTATTTTTAAGTAAATACGAATATTAATCACATAAAAATCTAAATCTACATTAAACATATCGGGCAGCCCCCGCATATTACGATTGTTTACAAAAATATATACAAATTTTATTTTGATGTCAAATAATACTGTTATTGAACTATTTATTGTTGCAAGGTTAATTAAAAAATTTATTTTAATAAACACAATCTCGTATAAAGAATGAGAAAAAATTTTGGTAATATATCATTTACACACATTCATGAAATTTAATTTAATTTTATATATTATATTTTTATAACAAAAGTTAATTATTTTTATTTTTACTGTGAGTAAACAAAATTAATTGAAGCTGTATGTTAATGAAGAGCAAAAGATTAACTAATACATATAAATTTAGGCAAACTAAATAGAATATTTATTAATTTTTTAATTATAATCTCATTAACAAGAAGTGTGCTCAGCAACAGTAGCTGTGTTTCCTTCTATTACCGCAGAGATAACAATTGCAGATCTATTTTAGAAAATGTTGAGTCAGACGACAAGATAAATAGAAATATATCAGTATGAAGTAGGAGCGCCAAAACGAACGATTAACGAGATACCATTTTTAAATTAAACAGATTTATACAGTCAGTCACTCACTCAACATATCAAATACGCATAAGTAAATACAAAAATAGTTTTTTTTGTTAATAGAAATAAAATTGCCAAATAAAATTTAATTCTCTCACAGACCTAATATTGAACTCTATGACCTAATCAGAAACGTGTGTGTAACGTACTAACAACATTTTAAGACCTCAGTGCCACTTCGCAACTTTAGCGGTAGCAGGCATTGACGAAGATACATCGGCACATGCTTTCAATTAGTTTAAGTGCAAAATGTAACAAAAAGTTTATCTAAACTAACCTTGAAATAGTACTTTTCCCCGATATAAATTCTCACAGACAAAACATACATAAGTTCAAACTAACCAAATTTTGTGCGCTGGCGGTAGATAGTTGTGGTAGTTGAAGTTTTTTAATAGTTTGAAATAAAAAGATGAATATGAAATTCCAACAAGTTTTATTTCTTACACGTGCAAGTCAAAAATGTATACAATATCAGCTTTCTAAAAAAAAACTATTACCAAGTTCATATGAAAAGACCGGAGTATAAAAAAAATAAAAACGGAAGGCATTCAAATTCTGTTTGAGTTAAGAGCATTTTGGCACGCAGCCTGTTGATTAGAAGCCATAAAATATTTCATTTTTAATGAGCTCTGAGTGAACCCAGAAGTATATAGTTTTGGCCTTTTGACCGATTTATTTATTTATTTATTTTTTTTTTGTTGAATTCGCACATAACAATATATCTTTTATAGTCGCGAATAAATAAGAGGTTTAGTAGACAGGCGATTTTATTAACTGTTAGGTTGAGATTAGCAATTTAGTGTAAATAATTTTCTTAAATTAATATTAAATACATTTTTTTAGTTTTCTATTAAATAATTAAATGAATAGCATTTGCTGTTTTTGAACAGCTGAACAACTTCGTTAAGATTTGAGAAAATTAAAGGAAACTTTTACAAACCAATATGTGTAAAAGGAATATTGATTTAAGATAGCTCTTCTACCATATTTTAGAAAAAATATTTATATAATGTATTAACTGTTTAAAATATATTTAATTTTATTTTGTTTAGTTATTTAAACATCATTTTTTACATCACATATATCGGTTTAGGAAAATATAATTCATTAAAGGTGTTACTTAAATCGTATAATATTGTAAAAATTATTGTTATTATTATCATTAAAATAACAGTTTACCAAATAGAACACTGCGTACTGCTCTTTTAAATTTAATTTTTTCATTACCGTGCTCTGGAGTTTCATGAGATCTATTTGTTGCTACACAATTTTTTTTCAATTTAATTAAGTTGTTCATAATTTTTATATTATTTTTATATATTCTTTTAATTATAGTTACGTTTTAAAAATAATACAAGCTATTTTATGACATTTGCTGCTTATTTATTAATAAAATTATTTGGAATCAGCATTTTTACTACGGAATTTAGTTGGAATTAGATAAATTTAATTTAAAATTAAATAAGATGTATATAAAAAAGTTTTTCTATTTAAAAAATATAAATATATAATATGTTATACATTTTTCTTAGTATTGTAGTAGAAGTAGCACAATCTATAATAAATTTCAAATTAATGTGTAATGTAAGTACGATTAATTTTTATATACGGACTAACATTATTTGCAATAAATATTCCTAGAAATTAAATAAAATTCTAATCTTAGACTTTTACATTAATTTTATTGTATATATACTAAACAAACTGTATTGGAATTTGCAAAGTTTAGACAAGATGTATTCGAGTAAAATATAGATTTGATTAAATCAGATTGGCCACGAAAAAACAATTTAAAATATGTAGCTGTAGTATTACGGAGATACATTTTTATATTGAACAAAACAATTTGTTATAAAAGCTTCTAACTTGTACAGGGTGATGTCGAACAGAATTAAACTGCAATTGCTAAATAAATGAACACCTTTGGAAAATTTTAAAAACCTCTACATTTAATCTAATATACCAATTGGAATTTTATGATGTTTGAATATAATACATTAGACTTTATCAATTAATGCTTTTATTAAGACTCGTTACCGCTTCTATTAATTGGTAACCATGTTATTAACAAAGATAAAACCTATTGAAGTGTATTTATTACATGCATTTGTTAATTAGTATTATAATAATATAATGTCATTTCATAAATGTAAATGCATAAACTGTATACAAAAAAAAATGTTCTAGATTCACAACAACCATGATATTGTCTTATGCATAGTAAAATAGTAGCTTATTTGTAACTGTAAAAACAAAATTCTGTTGGAGCCAAAAAGTAAACTGTTGCAAATGCATTAAC